TCGCCTGCAAGTCCAGAAGAAAGCGAAAGGTTCTCGCCGCATCCATGCGGTTCTTGATGAACGGAGCATTCTGCAAATCCACCCGTGGCCACGTGATGAGTGCCTCAAACAGACCATGGACTAGCTCCACCTTTGATATTGGCATGTCCAATATTATATGTGGATCGTAGGTCTCCACAGCGGCAAGGGAGCGATACTGTCTGATCGCTTCTCCGGGATGCTGCTGATCGCTGAGATACTTCTGATGATCGACCATTACACGAAGCATGTCCGTGTGCTGCGCGATGTATGCCATGTCTTCCATGTGTTTTCTGTTCCGACGAATTGCTGTGGTTGCTGTCCGTTGCAAAGACGATACTGACACGACTGCGTTTTCCGCACTCTGAAGTGTTGATCTTCCTGCCTGATATATGGCTAGACTTTCTACTGATTTTCCTGCTTGTTCTATGGCTGGAAATCCAGTTGACACTCGTGTCTGATCTATGCCTGGAAGTGACAGGCTCCCGGTGTCCATGCTCCATGGTGGCAGAATTTGCACATCAGTAACGATTGCGTTTACACTCAAGTCGGCCAAAGAGTTCGCCGACTGTCTACTGTTGGTAATCTGCATTGGCACAGCCACCTGCCGGGCTTCCGTTACATCCATACTCGTTATTTCGTTCTCCGAAATGTTAGGCAGGATTTCTGGAATAGAGGGTCCTAGAAGAGCCGGTGGAAAATCAGGAGCTTCCGCGTTTAAAGCAAATCGCGATATTGTTGCCTGTAGTGGCGGCTCTGCTTGCATTGGCTCTTGCAGCTCTCCCAGCACTTCCATCTGAGGCAGCACCCCATCGGAGTCAGGAGCAGTGGGGGAGCCAGTCGTAGATGGCGGGTGAATAACCATTTGCAGTGGAGCTCTGACCATTTCTGTCGCTCTTTGCAGTAAATTGGCCATAAAATTCTTTGTGATCTCATGATTCAATCGCGGCTGTTCGTCCAATGTATCCCTTGGCGGCGTTTCCGGTAATCTCTGGCGTCGTGGACGTCGGTTTCTTGGTGCCGAGACATTTCGCGTTTCGACATAGCTCGGTATTTGATCACGCGCTCGAAATATGCTACTCCAATCACGTCGCGGAGTCTGTGGTGGTGTAATAGGAGCAGTTCCCGCTGCTACCTCTGCTCCTGTTGTGTCTTCTACTATTGCTTCTAACGGTCCTCCTGCGGAAGCTTCCGGTGGGCAACCTGATTCTAATGATCCTGCTGCTGTTGTTTCGTCTGCTGGTGGGGGCGGATGAAACGACTTCTTCAGCAAACGCGGTAACATAGAGAGGCGATGCTCCTCGTCGATCACTGGCAACAATGGGCGAAACGGTGTGACTCCAGGTCGAGAGCGAGCCACCGTTGAAACGACATCTTCTGACGCGGGCGACATAACCATCGACTGCTTATTGCCGCTGTCCACGTCCACCAATGCAACCTCCGCTGGCAACGAGCGTGCACTCCCGGATCCTGGCATCATAGGAGTGTTCTCCTCATCGGGCTGCGATGAGGACGATGTCGGGTGGAATGCCAATCTGTGAAACGTACATACATTAAGGGTTTGAGTTAGCTGCTGCCTGCACCTCTGAATTAAAGATTAGAAAATTAAGCGATAGAAAGATAACAGGAAAGGAGACAGGATTGTGTATCAGTGGATTGATCTGGAAGAAGAGTGTGGGTCGCATCGAATAATAAAATATAGATATACCAAATGAACCTTTATGTGGAAAGAATTACATTCGGCTTGTTTTACACAGAGTGTAAGCACGGAGTTTTAGTGCCCTTTTGGAGTTAATAACGAGAAAGGACGTGTGAGACGCATCCCGGCACTCAGTCAGTGTACCTGTACCATATTGTTTTTTACGAATTTTACATTTGACATTTTAGATTTTTTTCTACACCTCACATCTGCATCTACATAACTTCTCACGCCAACACGCTGTTTTCGCTCGCCCCCCTCCCCTAGAGCCACAAACTACAGTCCAAGTCAGAGGCAGACCAGCTGCAGAGGCAGAAGGCCGCACACTGCAGAAGCAGAGTGTGAATGAGAAAATGTGAAAAAAAACAAAAGCTGCTGGACAGGGTGTGTTTAGCCACTGCGAATTAATTTCTTCATTGTGGCTATAATAATGATCTAACCAGATCCAAATTTGGTGATCTGATAGATATGGCCATTCCCTGCGGAATTCGTTTTCTTTTATCTTCAAATTTGTAGGTTTGGGAGGTTTTCAGCCTTTTGCGTGGGCGGAAGGGGGCGGGGCTAATTTTTTAATACACTGGTTTCAGTGTGAGCATACAGCAGTCTGTATGCAACATTTCGTGGCTCTAGCTCTTATAGTCTCTGAGAACTAGCCGACAAACAAGACGCACGGACGGACTGACAGACAGACATGGCTCAATCGACTCGGCTATTAATGCTGATGCTGTTCACCAAGAATATATATACTTTATGGGGTCGGAAACGTTTCCTTCTCTGCGTTACATACAACCGTTATTCGCACAAATACAATATACCCTATTCACTCTTCGAGTACCGGGTATAAAAAGTACGAAATCCCTTAGTAGCCCTTATCTCAAAAATGTATCAGTATCATGTAGTGTCAAACAACAAATAAAATGTTTTAAGTTATGTTCATGAACAGGAAAAAAAATAGTTATAAAAGAAAATATACTTTAATTGCAAACATTGTTCCCATACATTCATGCATTGTGGAAGATCTGATTGAAGTGGCGAAATCAATCCAATGGAATAGGAAGGAAAAGAGAGATAGGCTTGATTTATTGTGTTAAATACCCGTAGTCGATGTTAGGTGTTATTGGGGTTGATGATAAGGCGATACGTGCACCGCCGTCCTGTTCGCACAACGACCCGTAGCGACTGAAGTATGCTATATCAGTGGTGTCCCGATTCTGAGACTGCTGCTCACGCGCCACATTGGTCCCCAGGCTGCCTGCCGGTATGCTTGTGTATCCCATGCCATGTTCAACTGCTGGCAGCTCCATCGGCTCACTAGACTCGGCCAAAAATGAAAAATCCAGAAGTCTGGGCTGTCGGTCGTCCAACCATGCCGGTGGTAGTGCATGTCCCTCATCAGGCCAGGCTCGTCGACTGTGCAGCCCTGTTGTTACGCCCATGTTAATCAATCGTATCGTGTGCATCTGCATAAAGTTCTCACTGAGCCAGTGGGGAAATTTTGCCGCGCTTAAAGTGGCCAGAACTGGTTTTTCAGCTGTGGCTGCTGCTACTGCTCCTGCTTCTTCTGCTTCAGTCTCATCTTCTGACGAGAGTTCATTTCGGATTACAGCTTCCTCATTCGCATTATACAAGGCGAAGCTGGCCATGTAGAGATCTTTGATCTGTCGAACTTTTGCAGTTTCCTCTGAGGACGTGGTCACAGTTCCACGCCATTTGGAGCCCCTTTGTCTTTCTCTGCTCGGACGAGATCTGGGCACCACAAATTCATCAAAATTATCATTCAAATGAGGCTGCTCATTTACCCTCATACCGTGGAGCTGCCTAAACATGTTCTTCACCTGACTTTGCCCAGCTTCGGACTGGTTAAGCATTTTATTTATTTCCTCTAGAACGCGCTTGGACTTGGCTGTCGATTCACGATTCAGTCGCGACTGCTTCTCTCGCTCCTCCCTATCCTGAAGCTGCAGTGCATCCCTTTCGCTGGTCACAAGCTCTTCGAAGGCCGTGAGCAAGTAGTCACGAAGCTCTCGCACCTTCACCATTGTCGTGAATGTCCGCAAATCGAGATGATCAAGGAAGGAGATCACCACATCCCTGTCGCAGCTTGAAGGTATCTTCATGCGCACACAATTGACTGATACAGAGCGTTATGAAGAGAAGATATTGGGTGTGAAGTTCCCAACGACCATGCAGGGATATTGGGTGGACAACGAAAAAACAAAGCACATCACAAAACAAACATACATATATGTACTTAAATCTAAGCTTGCAAATACTTCTTAGCTAGATCAGGGAAGAAAATTAAAGGCATTTATCTTTACCATCTTCGCCATCATTGCGAAGTCCACGATATCCGCCTCCGCTACCACCACCACCTTCCTCGCCCTCACCACCTCCACGTCTTGCGGTGTTCTGGGGTGTCTCCTCGTCGCTCCAAGCTTGCACTGACATCGCAGCTACTCCCTTCGCAGGTTCAAATTCCTGCATTAAAAGTACATTAGAAAATGGGATATGCCTGTGTGAAAATGGGTACCTCGCCTTCCCAGTCAGACATTTTGGTAAGATTCGACCTTTTTTAATAAGTATCTGAAAGATAAAATTATAAAACATAAGCATCAAAGTCGTCCAAGAAATTAATTAGTTCTTAACATGTTCAAAAATTTAAAGATGGCGCCAACGAAAAATTAATCGATAGATTATTTATTAAATCACTAAAGCACAGCAATTAAATGAAAAATCAATGAAAGCAACTTATCTGGCACCAATTTCTTTAAATATTTAAAAGAAACAGATGTAAAAGATTGCTAATATTAAATTGTTTATTTTGGCGCTACATGCTTAGCGACCGATAACCGACTGTCGGTAAACCCTCAACACAGAATCGGTTTTCATCCACAATTAAACTAATCTTATTTTATTTAATACATTCCTGTGTTTTTTATGTATTTTCAACTTTTCCCAATTTATGGCACATAAATCTTCTATTAAATGTTCGATTGCTTCGACTAAATTTGCAAGATTGCCACTTCAATAGTGGACAGAGTAGCCAGCACCCACATTCCTTATCTGACAACCGACCGATAGTTGGCATTCACCAGGCGACGCGGGCAGCAAAAACGTGAGTTTCTGTTTTTTCTATCTATACCAAGAACACATGTGGGCTTGCCTAGCTGTGTGCGTGAGTAGGCCATGTGCGTGTGCAGTCGTTAGCGTGTGTGTGTAGGTAATACAGCAGCGAGGCGAAGAAGAAACGTTGAAAATTTAGGTTAGAGAGCAGCAGCCACCAACAGCCAGCGAGAAAAGTAAGGAAAATTTCGCGCATAGCAAAATTGAAAAAAAAAACTCCTCTCACTTCATTCCACACGCACCAGCAGCACACTAAATATATTTGGGAAATGAAAAACATCTATATTTCCGTGTGCACAAGCGACATTACAAGCGATTCCCCCATTTCCATTGTGTGACAGAAAACTCAACTCTCGTTTGCATAAATCATCGTGTGCCGTGTGTCGTGTGTGTGTAGAGAGGGAGTGCAGGAAAGAAAAATCAATTTAGAACTGTCTAAAAATTCTTTTGCAGGCAAGCAAAGCAGCTATTAGCCACATAAACCTCAAATCATGGATAGTGCCGGTAAAAATCGTTATGAACTCTTGTTCATGGACGATGATGTTAGCGATCCATTAGATAATCTTGTTGCGGCGACGGCTGCCGTAGCAGCCGCAACATCAGCCAGCAAGAAGAAGCAGCCGCAGACCGCCGGGGGCGGTGCAGTGTCCGCATCGGGAGGTACCAAGAATGGCGCCGCCAAGATGGCCAAGACAGCAGCCGTTGGCGGAGGACCAAATGCTAAGAAACCAAATCAAGCCGAAAAGGAGAACAAACCGAATGCTCTTAACAAAAATAACAACAACGAGGGCAAGAAGCCCGCTTCGACCACGGACAAACAGTTCAACAAAGACAACAACAACACCGGTACCAGCAGCGCCGGTTACAAGCAGGGCGGCGGTGCTGCCCGTCCAGGCGGTGGCAGCTTTGGCAACAGAACACGTGAGTTCGGCTCTGGTCAAGGGCAGGGACAAGAGCGGGAACAACGGGGACAGGGTCAGCAGCGGGAACGCAATGTGAACTTCCGTCAACAGAATGGTGGTGGCGAGCGCGGTGGCAATGGAAATGGCAACTACGAAACACGTGAGCAGCGCAACAATCGCCGCAATGTCCGTGAGAATGGCGCTGGTGGACCACCCGATGGTCAGCCTCGTCCGTATCGTGGCCAGGGCAACAGTGGTGCTGGCGGTGATCGCCCTCCACGCCAAAATCGCAACTATGATGGACAGAACAGGAAGCGGGAATTCGATCGTCAGTCTGGATCCGACAAAACTGGTGAGTAATAAAGTAGTCCAGGGCGAAGGGGTGCATCAGGCATGGCGGCGTAAAAACATAACCACAAACAGAATGCCCGCCCACTAAATAAAAAAAAAATAAAAAAATGAACTGAAAATTTGTAGGAACAAAAAAATCATTTGTTCCATGACAACAAAAAACAAAATCAGCGGGCTGATGCAAAGTCAGGGGGGAGGGGGGCAAGCCGACACGACATTCCAATATTGATACCTATTCAATTATCTTATTATTATTCTTATTCATTATTATTATTGTTATTCATTATTGTTATTCTTATTCATTATTATAATTCTTGATTTCGCAGAAAACGAAAGATCCTTATATTTCAGAATCATTATTTTTGCTTTATTCCACTTTTAACAATTACACAAAACGTATAGTCCAATTTAGGCACCAATGAGAGACACAAGGCAGACAACGAAATAGATTTATGTCGGTCAAATTAATATTTATCAGAACTTTTTATATATTCTATATTTCACTTCACACTTCCTGTCTTTCTCTTACCCATTTCATTTTTGGAATATCCAAAATTAAAATCTCTAAAAGTTTAAGAAAAGCAAAAGCAAAGATAAAATCACACGCCAAGTGGAAAAATTTTAAAATGTTTTAAAAATAGTTTGCGCGTCTTTCTCTAGCAACGCTTTCTTCTTCGTTCACCGCCACGAAAGAATATTAGTTGTATTAGGCCCATTTTTCAGAGCGAAAAACATTAACGTGCGCGCATAGCCTATAGAGGAAGTTTTATATTCCATATAATCTGATTACAGCAAAAAAACAAATTTTAGCAAATTGTTCTTATTTATCACTATGCAAAGGTAGTACAAATATATCCACTCACCAAAAAAATAAAAAAGCGGAACGCTCAGCTTCTGTAAAAGTAAAATAAACAAATATTAGGGTGAAATCAAAATATAAATTCAGCAAAGAAACTTACTTTTAGCTGGGAGGATTCACGAATTTCCGTAGACTATCTGCTGGCTTTGATCCTTAGATCTTTTCTGGCCTCTCTCTCCTGTAAATAATATATTTATTAATACATTGCTTTCTTTCGCAGGTGTTAAGGCAATTGATAAGCGCGATGGAGCTGGCGCCCACAACTGGGGTTCGGTAAAGGAGGCCATTGATGATGTGAACAAGAACGAAAGCGAGACAAGTGTGAACAATGCCGAAGGCGACAGCAAGGCCAACGAGTCTGGAAATGAACAGCAGAGCGAGCCGCAGGCAGCCGCCGAGGAAGAGACCAAAGAGCTGACATTAGACGAATGGAAGGCACAGCAGGGGCAGCGCACTAAGCCCACCTTCAACATACGCAAGGCCGGAGAAGGTGCGAAATATAACCCTAGGGGGGTGATGAATAATATAACCTAATTTAAATCTTGTTTCATTTCTTCAGGTGAAGACACATCGCAGTGGAAGAAGATGGTCGTTCTGACCAGTAACAAAAAGAAGGAGAACGAGAGCGAAGAGGAACTTGAATATGACCCTGCCATGTACCCACAGCGCGTTGGTCGCCAGCAGCGCGTTCTTAACATCCAGTTTAACTTCAACGACGGTCGACGAGGACCAGGCGGTTTTGGTGGTCGCGGTGGTCGTGGCGGTCCACGTGTCGGCGGTGGTATTGGTCGGGACGGACCCCGTCCTGAGGGCGGTAACCGTGGTGGACCACGCGATGGACCCCGTGATGGCCCGCCATCGGGTCCTCGCCAGAACACTGACGAGGGATCTGCTGCTGGCGGTGGTGCCCCATCGGCACCAACCAACCGGCCACCAATTGAGCGCCGTGGACCCGGAACCAACAACAGTGGTGGTGGTGCTCCTGGCGGTTTGGCCAAGCGTTTCGGTAATGAGCGGCAGCAGAATACCGCCCCCAAGGTGAACGATGAGCGCCAGTTCCCAACACTGGCCTAAAGATGGAGGTTCTTCAAGTTTTATAAACATTTTGGTGACTAGTCGTCTGGGATTGAACGCGAAGTTGAACTAGAAGGACTAGCTAGAGGCAGGCTCTGGAGGTTCTGGTTACCAAAATGAAAATCTAATAAATTACATATATCACAGACAAATAGAAGTAACAAATTTCTAAAAGCAGTTGTAGCCGCCATTAAAAGCCAAAAGCAACAAAACAACAACACGAAACACCTATGCAAAAATGGAAAATAAAATATACATATATTCAGAAATATATGAAGAAAACAAAAGCAATTTTAGTTTATGCGCTCTAATTTTACATGTAAAATCGCGATCAAGCTGAGACTTCGTATAAACTAGTCCGACGATGAAGAAAAGGAGCAGAAAAGAGAAGCTAGACACACTGACATACACAACACACACACACGCATCCCATCCTATTGTGAATTGAAATTAAATCCACTCACAATCGACATTTGGTGGATTAAAGAGAAATTTGTAACAGACAAAAATGTACTGTAAATTTGATTTTTTTTATCATTATCAAACTCAACAATCATCCTACTAACAATAGTACTAGCACAGTAACTACAAAGCGTTTAAAAAGTAACTAAGGGAAAATATAAAACATCATCGGCCTGGCGGCTTGTGGGAGAAGTGCGAAATACGGCAGAGGAGAGGCGAAGAAAAAAATCCAACACTAAAAAATACACTTCATACAGACAAAAAAAAACAGTAAAAGCATTTTCATTACTCATATGATTTTTTTCGGTTTAAAAAAATACAATTTTCACGAGGGAACTTTTTTATTTACCATTTTACGGTTTTATTTAAAATAAAGGAAACAAAAAAAATTACAATTATAAAAAGTTTTAGTTGGACAAACGCAAAAGAATAGCAACTGTTAAAGCCCCTGTAATTGTGTTTCTCGATGCAGATTCTATAATTATACATTTACATTTAATAATTATAAAGCAAATTAATATGCATCATATTTACTACTTTTAATTATAGAAACAATACAAAACATAAAACGAAAAACTGAACCCGAAATATTTAAAAAACACAAAATAACTTTAAGAAGAATTATGAAACAAAACTCAAAAACAATAAATAAAACAATATTCTAATAAACTATTGGAACAACTATAAAAATTTAATAAGTAGATTTACGGGGAAGGACGTTTTCCCTCAAAAGGTCCCTATGCAATGAAAAGAATAAAACCATCCTAAACACGCAAAAAAAAAACAATTTTATGATCCCCTGCAAGATTGTTTTCTTTTACAATTAGAAATTGTATAAATTAATAAAACCTATATTCATAATAGGATACAAGAATTGCAAAAATACAAAAACTTTATGACAGCAAAAACGAATAGGGAAAAAACCACTTAGAAGAACAAAATACACGAGATTTTTTGAAATATTGTATTGTATTTTGACCCAAAGGAAACAAACAACCATTTAACAGCGAGTGTTGAGAAACTCGTTTAAACATAAAGGAAAGAAAAATTATTTCATAAAAATAAAGAAAAACAAAAAAAAATTTACTCCTCGAATATGTTGTATAAGGGCTGGGGGGAGGGAGGGAGGGGGGGGGGGGGGGTCGAATTTTCTAGAAGCACGCGGGAAATAGCCAACCGGTACTTCAGAGAAAAGCAACTACGTAAGTTTGTGATTTTTGGATTATTTACACAGAAATTTCATATGTACAACTTCACTACAGCGACGCTGTTTGGAACAAGAACTTTTGTTAAAGTTAAAAATACGCATAAAAACCCACCAAAAGAAATTAAACTAAAGGCTTTCATTAAACTTGGTCATTTTGATAGGGTTCTGACTTGCACACATATGCGTACATATGTATGTACATGGGTATGTACAACGAAGAAACGCTTAACCAGAGTTCTCGGTAAAAATATAAATATTTCTTTATTAAATTATTGCTGGGACAACAAAACTGTTAAATTAGTCACACAATTTAATGCAAAACACTATTAAACAGGAAATTCCATGTGATTGGAATCCCGCACACACACATGCACGCACAAATCTGTTTTCTTATTTGAATTCTAGACAGAATTATTACACGAATATAATTTGCACAAATACCACTTCCTAACTCGGTTAACTAAAGAACGGACGCGCAAAAGAGAAACTCGGATCAGCGACGGCAAATTCAATGATTAGGATTGTCGCAGTTGTCAAAATGTAGTGTAATTGCTATAGCTTGCACAGAAAACCATGAAATGGAGCTTCGATAATCTTGCGACATTACGGTAAATTCAACGGACAACTGTCAAGCGAAAACGGACGATAGGCGAATGGGCGATTAAAAGGGACTACGTAAAGTTGCTTGCAGCTTCATTAATGGATGTATCGGTGTTCAAAATAAGATATATAAACAAAAATAGTGTAATGTGGATTTTGTGAATTCAATATTTAAGGGCATTGCAAGCGAACTATTTCACCGTTCAGCACATTTCACTCACAGCTAAGCGGCACATACATATGTAAATACATCTGGACCTTGAATTGGTGTATTTTATTGGCATTCAATGACAAAACACTATCAGCAGCGCAAGACTCACCTTTCGAATAGTTCCACACTTCAATAAAGTCAAATTAGCTACGATCTTTGAGATTCACAACGCTTTATCGTATCGTTGGTTGAGAAGGACGGGAGGAAGAAAGGAAGATCTTAAATATCGCCGCATTGTCAGCCATTTTTTATATCAGTTAACTAATCGCACTATCAATCGATAGTAGTATATGGGAAAAATTTTAGGTTTCTGGGGATTATTTATTATTTAATTGTGTCAAAAAATTACATATTATATGTGTTTGTGTAAAATAAATAAATAATTTAAATTTACTTAAGAATCCTATAGAACTTTTACGTGTGACGCTACCTTATTTGACCGTCAGGCGTCTCTGGCAGGCATCCCTATGTAGTAGACCATACTTGACACCAAACATCGATGACAGCAGCTGCCACACATCGATGTTTCTCCAGCTCTAATACATATAGAAAAAAATCAGGTAAACAATTTTTATTGGAGGGAAAAAGTTTAGTTCTCCGTTTAAGCTTTAAAGCAATATTGCTGCTGAGTTGTTGTAACAAATTTCACGCAGCGTTGGAACGCCGCTAACTTAACCTCTCTTCTGTCATATGCGATACAGTTTCTGGCGGCCAATATGAGCGTGGAGGATGAAGTCTTTCGCATTCAGAAAAAAATGAGCAAGATATCAACGTTTAGCGATGGCTCAGTAAGTAGCGTCCACCACACATCCATTGCGTTGTTTTGATAGCTTTTCTTCCCACCCGCCCCACTTTCAGGGACAGGAACAGGCTTTGGATCTTCTGAAGGCGCTGCAAACGCTGAACATTAATCTGGAGATCCTGACTAAAACGCGCATCGGCATGACTGTCAACGAGCTGCGCAAAAGCAGCAAGGATGACGAGGTGATTGCACTGGCCAAGACCCTAATTAAGAACTGGAAACGCTTTCTGCCCAGCCCAGCCCCTGCCACCCCAAACAACAGCACTGCCGCCGGCAAGGAGAGCTTGAACAATAGTGCCTCCAAGTCCTCGAGTTCGAGCAAGTCGGCCAGCAAGGAGAAGTCTAGTAGTAGCAGCAGCTCCTCCTCGCGTGACAAGCGCGACGAGAAGAAGGTTTCGTCTTCACAGACTTCCTTCCCATCCGGCGGCATGACAGATGCCGTGCGCTTGAAGTGTCGCGAAATGCTGACCGCCGCGCTCAAGAACGGAGAGGTGCCCGAAGGTTGTGCCGAGCCCGAGGAAATGGCCGCCGAGCTAGAGGACGCCATTTACTCGGAATTTAAGAATACGGACATGAAGTACAAGAATCGCATTCGTTCGCGTGTGGCCAATTTAAAGGACCCGAAGAACCCGGGTCTACGTGGAAATTTCATGTGCGGCGCCGTCTCTGCCAAGCAGCTGGCCAAAATGAGTCCCGAGGAGATGGCCAGCGACGAGATGAAGAAGCTGCGCGAGAAGTTCGTGAAGGAGGCCATAAACGATGCCCAGCTGGCCACCGTACAGGGCACAAAGACAGATCTCCTCAAGTGCGGCAAGTGCAAGAAGCGCAACTGCACCTACAACCAGCTGCAGACGCGCTCCGCCGACGAGCCCATGACCACTTTCGTCATGTGCAACGAGTGCGGCAACCGCTGGAAGTTCTGCTAAGCTCCGTCCCAGCCTGTAACTCCAACAAAACCCTTGAAACACCCTACAACATACACCACTTGTATCCAAATAGCAACCTACATATTCTTATTACTTTGTAAAGACACGAGCTACTTTTTTGTATTTACCCGCTTGAGCAAGCGCATATTCTATGACCACCAAGAGAGGAAATTTCAATAAAAAAAACTATTGATAAAAACAAACTAACAATCAATTCTGTGCTTGAGTGCCGGTGATGAAAACGAAGGGCAGATAATATTAGTACATTATGTTGTTGCAAGTACAGTTTTCTGTCAAACATTTATAGGAGGGGTTAAGTCTGTTCGTCGGTATATTTACGGTATTTTTGAAAGCGATAAGGTTCGGTATATTTCTTAGGTATCTTTTCGCTCAGACCTGAAACGGAAAAATGAGTTGGGAGATTTTAAACGTGTGCCATGGTATACAAGGTAATGGGTGGGATTTTACCTAGCATTTGTGCGCACTTTCTTCTCTGTTTTACCTGTAGTCTGTACCCTTTGTTTCTCGAAAATTACATAAATCTTAAAAGCTGGGTTTAAAAACATTGTTCGGAAAAGCTCGGGAAGAAAATGTTTTGGACGCGGAATACTATAAAATAAATATTTTTAAATATTTTTCTGAATTCAGAAAAGTCAGTTGATATCCATATTGTTACCTGTGCTCGTTCATTCGAGAGAAATAAATAAATAAGTGCACTACAATTGTAATAATTTTCTCCAAGAATTTTTCACTCGATCGGTTTTGATCTATTCCCCATTTAATTTTGGTGTAAGTTTGTAGCATAAAGGGAAATGATAATGAACAAACGCATGAAAATGTTCAATAGTCGAGTAAAACTAATTAACCTGTTGGATTGAGAACAATCGGCGCGCTGCACTTTTCCTGCTATTGTTGGTGTGTGACCTATTTATATAACCTGTTTTTGAAAAAATAAAAATATCCCGCTTCAAAACTGGCCTAAACCGAGTGACCCAAGTGATAAATAATACAACAATACATTAAGTTGTTGTGCCAGAAAAGAATTGTGCAAAATTCCAGAGAGAAATAGGCAGCAGAGAATGTTTAAAAGAAAAAAAGAGTGCATTAACCTTGCAAGACAGAGCTAAATCGCCTGTGTGTATGTGCATGTGCATGTGAATGTGATTGTTGTTGGCTAGAAAACCCATCAAGAGAAAATGACAAGGGTCAAGTTAAAGGAATGGAGCATCATAATTTTAATTACCATTGATTTTAGTATCTTCTAAGACGCGACGTGGCTGCATTGCATTTTTCTTTTTTTATTGCCTTAAGGCCCTCTTCTCAACAAAAAAAAATTATAGCTACGCTTCAGGTTTCGTTGGCTAGAACGGTACTAACATGCACACACTCACTGACAACCCACAGAGCACACACTCTCACACACACCCAGACCTGAACAGACACCTGCTAAAGAAGGTAGAGCAAGAGAGAGCGGCATGCGTAAAGAGCGGCTGACAGTGCAGCAAACATATACACAGATTCCCCTATTCTTCCCTCTCACTCTCACCCGCCTGTTGCTGTCTGGTTTTGAGTTTCATAGAAGTCGAACGCACTCTCTCTCTCTCCGTGAGCTTGAACCTGGCTGTTCTTATTCGAAAATCACACCAACTCACCACACATGCACACTTGTTTGGCCGGTTTGTTGGTGTTGATGTTGCGCAACTGGACATTTATAGGGTGGCCAGGGGACTAGATCCGGAAACCCTTTTCCCTTAAATGCTTCTCATTAGTTGTTTTGTGGAACTGTGGATTCTTTCAGCCACAACACAAACCTTTTTTTTGCGTTTCCATTTCGGTAGCCCTAATAAAGCTTATGTTGGATGGCGGCCGGCCCCCTCCCATCCGCATTGGTGTCTGAGACTTTCGCGACTTTCTGTTTGTTTGGTGAAACTTAAGGTTTCTAAATATGTATGTATATGTATGTAAATACATACATACGTATGTATAATAAAAAATGCAACAAACAAGAATTCTAATAATACTTTATTCAGTTTAACTTAGTTTCTTGGGTGGTTTTAGATGGTTAGGAGATTTTCTAGTGTAAGACTTTAAAATGTGAAAGAAATTTCAGTGTAGAATGCAAATATGAGTAAAAGTGAGGGAAGAAGGGGAATATATGTATGTACATACATGCATAAATATGTACATAATGGACTTTAAAAGAAAAAAAATGTTAAAAAGACTTTAAAATTTAATACATGTGTACATATTTACAAATCTACATACATATACGAAAATATGATCAATATTAAATAAAGTTTATTTTAAAAAATGATAAAAGTTGTTTACTAATTAACAAAAGTTTGAAAACGAATTTAAGTAAAAATGTACATACCACAAAATAATTGAAAATAATAATGATAACAATTCTATAGTAATTGATTTATTAATTCACATCTCCCATTATAATGCTTATTCATCTGATCAAAATTGTACACAATTTGGTTAAGGTTTGTTATAAGCGTGTTCTTGAAGATCAGTTGTACATATAGGATAAATATGTATGTAAATACATATGTACATACAGATATTTTATTCAAGAAGACCACTGGAATGATAGTTCCCTGATGTACGTACATATGTATTCTCCTAAGCAACCAACCCGCTTTTCTGTTCATCGAAAAATATATGTACTTGCTCTCAGAGCGATCATTCTACAACCAAAAGCACAATTTGTGATAAATGCCAACGTCAAGTTGAACAACAGCTAATGTATAATAATAATAAGCGGTATAAAGGTTATGTACATACATTTGTATGTACAAATTACATACATACATATAAACATATGTACGTATGCATGTGTGTGATGCATATACCGTAATTGTACGTGGCTGAGCATAACATATTTATGTACATACGAACTTTCACTAATGACTCTCGATGAACTTTTGGCTCACTCACGTTTCACACACAACGAATTTTTTATTTTATTTTTTTTTTGAGGTTTTATGTTACCGCTCTTCCCTTTTGAATAGTGGGGATTAATTGTCGCACTCTCTTAAAAGTCGCTCACGTGCTGCTCTTTTTCCTTTCTCCCTTTCCACTGTCGCCTCACCTAATCCCTCTCCCCTATTTACCACCTGGAAGATACGTGATAAAGTTGAGTCATTGACGGGTTGTTGGATGGATTGATGCAGAATCTCTTTTAATCTTTCATTGCGGAAACTCTTAGGCGCGTCTGTCGGTTGATTCAGTTTTTTGTAGAGTTTCGGTCATGCCCAGAGATATGTCTGTGCTAATATGGCACTCTCGAACCAAGCACTCTTCCCTCACACCTTGTTTAATGTTCTTATCTGGCATGCACTTACGCGAGTTTCTCCGATAAGAGCGGCCGGGGTATTAAGAAATACTTGTATTTTTAAATGTTTATTTGTAAAAATGTATGATGTATGTGTATGTTTCAACTAAATGCTTGAACTCTAAACAACTGACTCACGGTAATCTGCATACGAAATAATGTGTGTACATACATATATGTATACAGACCGCCGTTCTCTTTCGTAGTGACCAGACGT